ATGTGTCAAAGTCTGTCTGGCAGACCGTGGGAAATTGACACCTGGTGTCTCCACCATCCCCCATAGTTTAACATGAAATTAAAAAAAAACCAAAAACAGTACAAAATGGTGAGGAAATAATTTGGGGAATCTGAGCATCCGTAGGTCAGTAAATAAAGAAAGAGACCATTCTTTCCAGTTATATCACTGAGCACACTCACAGAGCTGTTTATTTTCAAAGGTTATGGTTGTGTATTAGAGCTCAGAAACTTTCAAATGGAATCATTTAAACATTAAAAATATTTTATTTTTGTTCTTTTATTCTTGTGATGTTGAAAGTGATCTGATTTCTGATGTGTCACTTGGCCTCTACTGAAAATTAAACCTCTAAATAAAATGTTCTGGTGTCTCCTTAAGGTGAAAGCACAGCATCCACACTCTGTTTACATCCCGGTGCCTTCCAACTGTAAACTCATCAAAAATGAGACTTACACTGTTCTTTGTCCAACAGCCAGGAAAATCCAACCCAAGGTAAATATTGTACAAGAAAAATGACTAATGCTACCTGTACTACTATAGAGAACAGAATACCAGTTCTTCCTGGAGGATGTTGAATTCAAATATAAACAGAGACGGGAGGCATTTTAATAGCTTTGTTTTTCATACCCATCTGATACAGAAAGAGAAATAAGAAAACACCGAATTCTCTCTTTAGCAATAAAACATAAAGCTCTGTAGGTTGAGCTGCTAAACATGACAAAATATATCAACCATCAAGAAGAATCAAACTGCTGTGTTTGAAAAAATCCGACATCCTTAAACTCCAAAACAGTTTTGCTGTAGACTGATATGCTGAATAAAAGTCATTTTCTAGTGTTAAGCTAAATTTGATGCAAGTACTAGAAGACATTTTACTGGCCTATTAGTTAATTAACCCACAAACAGAGTAAGGGATCATGTAGAACTGTCACCTGTTCAAAATGGACACGCATATACTGAGTAGGAACCATGACTGATATAGAGGCCCCTGGTGATCCACTGTGAATGATAATCTTGCTAAAGCTTAATAAACGTGCCATGGATAAAGGCATTGACCTCGATTCTTGTTTTCAGAAAGCTGAATTTGACATGGAGTTTGGACCAAACTACTATGCAACATTTGAGATCCGTTTTAATGTAAACACAGAAGAAGTCACTGTAACAGTTCAAGACCAAACCAATGAAGAAGTCTGGGAGCATGACATTGATATGGCAGGTAAAGGCTTCATCCTGCAGCAACATCATTTTGTCTCATAGTGTCCAATACTGTAGAAATAAAAAGAAGACTCCTCGTATTCCTCTGTGGCTCTTCATGAAAAATGGAAATGACAGGACGATTGGAGTGGCAGGATGGTCACTCAGCTACACCAATTGAACTAAAATTAATACTGAATCAGTGTTAATGTTGCCAAAACAATATTGAAATGTAGTTTCCTCTGGTACCCTCCCCAGTTGGATCAGGAGTAACATATTGAGCCACTCCTTAAATCCATGGCTGTCTTAGTGGTGTCCAGAAAATGATCTGGGAAACTTTCTAGGGAAAGCCTGGTGATATCAGGAGAGACGGCATCCATTAAACTTGGAGTAGAGAAGCTCTCATTGATAGGAATTTTGCCAAATTTATTAAACCCCCAAGACATGACAATTCAGAGCTGTAACCAGGAGGCAGATTTTTGTTTTAGATTACGTATTAATGTAGCGATAATTAAACCATTACCTAAAAAGGTTTAATTTGACACAGGTGTCTAAATAATTATACATGATGAGTTTCAAAACGGATGAGTGTACAGTGTTAGTGACAGTTATTTAAGAATAGGCTTAAAACTTTAATTTTTGATAAAGCTCCTTTAGTTTTCACTGTAACTAAGAGATCCATTGATGCTCTGAGCTTTTCTTATTTACTCACCTCACTATGTGTTTATTCGCCAACTCTGCATTTAATCAAGAATCGCCAATTAACCTAACCTCACTAACTACGCTTTTGGACGTTGGGGGAAGCTGGAGTCCCCGGAGAGAACCCACACAAACATGGGGCGAACATGCAAACTTCACACCAAAAGGCCTCGGCCAAGTGGTGGAAACAAACTCAGGCTGTGAGACAACAGTGGTAATGACCACAACAACATGCTTTAATATCTGCCTCTTTTCCACAGTGTGTCTTTTGTCCTGTCTTCCTCCCCTCACCCCTACTAATCTTTGTTCACTCTTCTTATCAGGCCCACCCTAATTGTCTTCACCTGTCTTAATCACTTTCAGCTGTGTCTCCTTCTCCACCTGTCTCCTGTAGCAGTTGTCAGACGCTTCACCAGAAGAGTGTACCGCAAAGCAGGATGTTGCCTCATCCAGGTAACTTCGGGGTTGTCCATAGGTTGTCTGTACTATGGAGGTAGTTTGCATCTTATCAGGGTAAATATCCACGGTAACTCATTTTGTGAGCCTAACCAGCTCTGGAGCAGGTTTGGTTTCAAATAAGAAGTCAGCAGATATAAAATCAATGCTTACTGACCAATCAGTTTTCCAGAAAGTAACATCACCGTTCCTGGAGGATTTCTAAGACCCCTGCTGGGAGAGTACCAGGGTTGAAAGTTCTTCCATTGCATCTAAAGTCTTTTTGTTTTCCTGATTTTTAGATGCAACTTTATTCAAAGTCAAAGTAAACTTTGTGATCTCTCCCATATACAGTACAGTATGCATAGAGATGAGATCATGAGGTTCCAGTTTAATTCAGTGCAAAAGACGAACAATAAATATAAGAGGTTTTATTTATTATTCACTGATTTATACTTTTTTTTTCTTTTTTGCAGCAAATGATTTTCCAACAATGTGATCATTCTATAAGCACTTTTGTCTGATCTTAAGACAGGACACATACACTGCAGTTGTTAACATCATATCAAAGCTGCATGTGTCAAAGTCTGTCTGGCAGACCGTGGGAAATGGGGAATGAGGACCCAAATGCAGGACTCTTAATGATGAGCAGTGTGTTTATTTACAGTGATGTAAACAGTTCACACAAAAAACCCCTGTGCTCTTCTTCCCAATTGCCTCACGTTCTCTGCTCCCGTGTGTCTGCACTCCCAGTGCTTGCTGCTCTCGGGCTTCCCACGCTCCTCCTGGGGTAAACAATAGACTGTGGGCATACACTAACTTAGACTTTGCTCTCAAGACACTGACATGGAGTCTCTCACAATCGTCCCACACCGGTGGGAGTTCCATCACACTCTTAAATAGCTCCCCCGATGAGCCTGATCAGCGGCAGGTGTGTGGCATGGTCTTCAGGTGTGGCCAGCCCCCTAGCAGGGCCACACCCACCAGGCCTGCAGGTGCCTGTTACCCAGCCTACAGGAAACAGCTGCACACACTACTCTCTCATCCTTAAATAAATATGAGTCTGCAGCTGAGATAATACAAAATAAAACTCACAGGATCAGGTTATGTTCAGAGTTTTGGGTGTGCTCCATAAAGAGAGTCAACTGTGAGTCAGTTACCACGGTAACAGTCTCTGTGACCTAAACCTGCTCGTTTGCAGGTTTCCCTCTGACTACTCTCCTCCTGCTACACCTGAACCAGCTGACTGACACTTATAAAATCCTATAGCAGAGCAGATTAATTTACATTATTTTAAACTTTTTTTAAAAACATTAAAATCCCAGTTATATCATAGTTTGCTATTTTTTATATTTATTTACCATGAGTCGATTTACAATCAATTCTAAATATAAAAGGATGGACACAGTGACTACATTGCAGTTTTTAATATCAATATCTAAAAAAACCACTGTGGACAGTAATGATCTGTTATGATCATCACACTGAAAACAGTTTTATATTTGACTGTAACTGACCGCGAGGTTAGTTTCATAATCATTAACATGCCAGTGTTCAGTGATCAGTGGACCTTGATTATGTCAAATAACATTTTATGAGGTACAGTGTTTGAAATTCAAGTCTGAACCAATAGTACATAATAGGACATCCATGTAGTTGTAAAAGCACGATAATATATTAAGTAATCCGAGGTATTCAGAATACGTTACTCTCATTGAGTAACGTAATGGAATACATTACAAAATACATTTGAGGCATGTATTATGTAATCTGTAGTGGAATACATTTTAAAAGTAACCTTCCCAACACTGCCCACACATACCAATCATACGAACCACATCAGAAAGTGTGATCTGAAACTGTCCTTGGTCCACTGCCTGTTACAAGAAATCTGCACAATTCAAAACTTAAAAAGCAAAAACACAAACAAAAAAGTCTGTAAGATTCCATTTTGACTCTTTTCCGTTTTACAGCAGCAAAAATATATTTCAGGACTTGTAAATTTTTGTATTGTCTTTTCCTTTTTTATTTCAGGTTCTCCAGAGGTGAGTGTCGCACCAAAGGTGAGTTTTAAGCTCTGTTAGCCTGCCCACTGTTGCTGCTCTTCTGTGTGTTGATTTGATTTTTTACCCTGGCTCCACCGTTATTATTGTTTCTGTGTTTGCAGTGTCATATCTGTTGACCTAAGAATATTTCCATGCTTCAAAGTAATAATTACTGTGGATGGAAATAATAGATGGAATAATGTTTTTATTGAAAAAGTGGTCATGAATTAGACCCAGTAATCAGGTCAAGACTGCAGAACAGTGGGAAAGCTAATCAGTGGCAAGAACGAGTCAAGGAGCTGGACTCCTGCGGCAATGAACAGCCAGGACGAGTGACATGCTTCCTCCTTGCTCTAGATACTGGAAATTAGGAAAAGGCCAACACAGATCAATTACAAATAACATCTTTTTGTGGATGATGGGATGAAGTCCCTTCTGAACTGTTACAAAGTTACATTAACATAATATTGCTTAAATATAAGTAACATGGAAAACAACTAACACTAAACTCTGATTTTTAGCTGAAAGTTTCAACTGAGCTTCTCGAGATCCTGAATGATTTAGATGATGGGGACTTTGACACCTTTAAGTGGCACCTCAAGTCTGAGCTGTGGAAAAACATCAAGCCCATCCAAGAAAACAAGCTTACGAAGGCAGAGCGGCATGCAATGGTGGATCTCATGGTGCAGAAGTATGAGATAAGTGGAGCTGTAGAAGTGATGGAGAGCGTTTTATTGAAGATCAGCAGGAATGACCTGGTGGAAAAGTTAAGACTCTTAACTGTGGATACACCAATCTGACATTTAGATCAGATATCGACCAAATCCTGACTAGAATATCTGAATTTAATATTGGTAACAAAACAAATTTAAGACCAGTCCATTCAGTTAAATCCTGTTCAGGCATTTATTGGACAGATGGTAAGATAATGTGTTCTGGCTCTTAATTTTGTTAAATTTTTACTGTGTGCAGAGAGAGGTGCACTCAGTGACATCTGTCTGTCAAATTAGCTTTGTTTTGTTTGTGTGCACAGTACTGAGAAAATAGTCACAGTACTGTGTTCCTGTAATTAACACAGATGAATAAACCCCATCATGTGCCTGCAAAACTCTCTCAGTCAGTTCAATTTATTAAAGAAGCCAAATGAGAGGCTAATGTGTACTTATTTTAAAAAACGAGAGATCTTATTTATGTAATCATACACTGAAACATAAACCTGCCTCACCACTGCTGCTTTCAATAGATCACATTCCTGAAGAAACAGGAATATTGGACAAAT